AAGAAGACATTCAGGTGGCCAACAAACACATGAAGAAATGTTCACCATCATTAGTTGTTGTTGTTGTTACGTGCCATCGAGTCGGACTCAACTCATAGCAACCCCTCCTTGGGTTTCCGAGACAGTATCACTATGGAAGTAGATTGCCCAACTTTCCTTCTGAGGAGTGGCTGGTGGGTTTGAACCTCCAGCCTTCTGGTTAGCAGTCAAGTGCCTCAGGCATGCAAATCAAAACAACAATGAGATGCCTTCTTACCCCTGAACTAATAGCAAAGTTCACCAAGACAGAAAATAACAAATGCTGGTGAGGTTGTGGAGAGATTGGGACTCTCATGCACTGCTGGTGGCACTAAAATGATACAACCACTGTGGAAATCAGTATGGAGATTCTTTAAAAAGTTGGAAATAGAAATACTATTTGATCCAACAATCCCATTACTAGTTATATATCCTAAAGAAGTGAGAGCCAGTACAGGAACAGATATATGCAGCACACCTATGTTTATCACAGCACATTCACAATAGCAAAGAGATGGAAACAATCTAAGTGTCCATCAACAGAAGAATGGATAACCAAACTATGGTACATATACACAGTGGAATACTATGTAACACTAAAGAATAATGGAGAATCTGTGAAACACCACATAACATGGATGAACTTGGAGGATATTATGCTGAGTGAAATAAGTCAATCACAGAAGAACAAATACTGCACTAGTTCATGATTGTAAGAAGTCAAGGAAAGATTTATATATGGAAGGAAACTTTCTTTGTTGGTTACCAGAGATAAGAGGGAGAGGAGAGAACACTATTAGATAGGTAGAGACAAGTACTTATTTGCATGAAGGGAAAGGCAATATACTAAATCAAGTGACCAACACAATAACATTAAGGAAGAAGAAAACAGAGAGGTGCACAAGACGTACAGATAACAAATATAAACCCTTTTACATATACAGTACTGTATCATCAATGATAACAAATAATCTATGGCTAAATAGATGGGTAGACAGGCTGAATGATCAGGTATGTCTAGGCAAAAGGGAATATACCCATGATCATATATAAGGTAGGCAGATATTTCTACAAACGTATTTGTATGTGCTGTAAGAATGTCCATATAACCAGAACTAACAGGGGGCAAAGTTATGGTAACTTCTTAAGCACAGTCAACCACCCTGATGGAATGAGTTGTTGGACCTGTGGACTCATGACCATGGTTGCAGGGAACATCAAGTTCAGCTGGCGTAACATATCACACAAAAACATTGTTCTATATCCTACTTTGGTGAGTAGCATCTAGGATCTTAAAAGCTTACATGCAGCCATCTAGATGCAACAATGGGTCTCTCATCATCCAGAGCAAAGAAGAAAGAAGAAAATCAAAGACATATGGAAACATTAGTCTAAGGGACTAGTGGACCATGTGAACCTCAGCCTATAAGACCATGAGACCAGAAGAACTAAATGGTGCCCAGATACCAATGTCAACCACTTAGAAAGGGATCAGTACAGGAGATCCTAGATAGAGTGGGAGAACAATGTGGAACAAAACTCAAAATCATATAAAAGACCAGGTTTAGTGGTCTGATAGAGCCTGGTGAGACACCCAAAACTAAGGTTCTTAGTTACCCTTCAGGTCTGGAATTGAACTCACTCCTGTGGCTTCCAGACAAACAATGAATAGGCATAGAGGGTATTTACCAGGTAGACACACTCCTCAGAATGATCAAACATAGGAGAACAGAAGGGCAGTATTTGTGCAGGGAGATAGCTCAGGAGGCAGGAATGCATGAGACAGAAGGACACAGGGAAGAAGTAACTATAGGGAGTAAGTGGGAAGAGAGCTGTTACTTGTGGGGAATTGTAGTCAATGTCATGAACCAAAATGTGTATGGAAGATGAATTTTCTCTGTAAACTTTCACCGCAATCACAGTAAAAATTGCAAATAAAATTGGATCCCTACCTTACAACTTACACTAGGATAAATGCCTGATGAATAAAGATTTCAATGTAAAGACAAAACCATAAAAGCTCTTGAAAAAACTATGGGAGAAGGCTGTTATAACTTCAAAATGGGGTGGCCACTCTAAAAATGATGCAAATTCTAAAATTTACATAAGATCAATAAACAAACTTTTAAAATTTTAAAAATCTGCATGGGCAAAACAAAACAAACCATGTAATGAAAGTAAAAATATATACAACCAACTGCAATAAATATATATATATATATATATAAAATTCATATCATCGGAAGGAAGGTTGGGCAATCCTACTTCCGTAGTGATACTGCCTCGGAAACCCAAGGAGGGGTCATTATGAGTCGGGGCCGACTCGACAGCACATAACAACAACAACAATTCATATCAGATACAAAGGGCTGATTTCCTTAAAAAGTTCTCATATAGCAATAAGAAAAAGGCAAACAGCACAAAAGAAAAAACAAAAAGAGACAAATGATATTAGCATAGTGTACCCTGAAAGGGAATGATGTTGTTGTTGTTGTTGTTTGCCGTTGAGTCAGCCCCGACTCATAGCGACCCCTCCTTGGGTTTCCAAGGCAGTATCACTACGGAAGTAGGATTGCCCAACCTTCCTTCCGAGGAGTGGCTGGTG